GCATTAGAAACTGTGGCACGAATCCTTGAAGAAGAGTAAAAGTTTCATATAATAACGTTAAATCTTTTTTTCTCGAATAGATTGATTTGCTTTCTTGTAAATACGTATAGTATTTCGGCATTTTTAATGGCATTCGAAATATTTTGGGAAATGCTTCAGATTTGCAAAGAAGTATTTGCAAGATTACAAGGCTTTATTAATGATTAAAAACATAGAAACTTATTTATGTAATGAATCTAAACAACATTTTTTCTGGGACTTGCTGGAATTTTTATTTATATTTATAAAATTTTGCTGTGCTGGTTAATTTTGCTTGGTATGTCACTCAGGTTTTAATAGTTTAATATGTTGCCCTTCTGCGATAAATCAGTGAAAATCCAACACACACGCAATTATATTATTGAAAAATGTGAGGGGAAAAAAGCTAATTTTCTGAGTAGGGTTCCACAGCGAGATAAGTTCCCAACCACATGATTATTTAAAAAAAAAGTTGAGCGTGCTGGACTCTTTGGCTTTTTAATTCCAATCTCTCTCCCTAAAGAAGAAGATTGCTTATTTCCTTTTATTGCAGGTAAAAAAAAAGTATGGAATGCACATCAGCATTTTAAATATCTGTATGTCCTTATGCACTTATTTCTTACATTGTCGCTTTATTAAAGTAATAGGGCCTTTGTCCAGTACTTCTGACACTGATATATTTTTAGGTTAAGCAGCATTAAGGTATACATTTACCGGATATTTTCTACACTATTTTTTGGAGTTAAAGGCCATCTTCCGATACTTCCAAACTTGAAATATTTTCTAATTTAAATTGAGTGAAATTTGTAACAACCACCATGAAAAAACTTATCAAACTATTTGCAAAAAAAAGAATTTTCCTGAATGCAATCAAAAATAAATAAAAAAAACAACAACACAGGATGTGTTCGAAATGCTTTTAAAAGCCTTTTATTATTAAAAAAAGTGATATTTTATTTTTGTTTCAAAATTTAAAATCTAAAATAAATTCAGCCTATTTGCTCTGAAACATAAAAACATGCATTCGACTGATGTAAAAGAAGTGGAGCAATCCCTTAAGGAGAAGACTTGAAATTGAAGAGCTAAAGCTGCAAGCTCAATTTTTTTTTTTACTCTTGCTTCCTGGTCAAAAGTTATACAGGAGGAGATAATTCCACACTCTAAATTCTAAAGGAAATTTTTCTAAAGCCACATTCTATAAGCACTTCTCTTTGTAGGTAAAAATTAAAAAATGCACTTTTACTCTCATTTTATTAACTATAAAAATTTCAAAATTACTTTGATTACTGTGTCTTAACAAAAAATATGAACTATCGTCAGAATTTTGGGATGAAATTTCATTTTAAAATAAAAGTATTGTTTTCTCTGTTACTTATTTTTAATTTCATTTATGGTAATTATTAGGAAAGACAATATGTATATTCACTTCTAGCAATAGCTCTATAATTATAAGTTCATGATCAGATTTATGGCATCGTTCCAAAATAAATAAAATGACCAATTTCTGTCACTACCCAAACTAAAAACGTGGGTCACAGTACTTTGGCAATAAACTTATATCACTGCCGAAAAATTTAACAATTTCCTTTTTAGGTATAAAAAAACAAATACCTAAATAAATAAAAATATTTTCTATGAAATATATATGAAAATAAACCTAATTTAGGTTCGCTAGTGTCTTAATATTAAATAATTGTTTTAAAAACGTTACAAGACAAACTGTAAATGTTAAAGAATTGATAAGGTTACAACTGGGTTAAAAATGAATATGAGAAGCTAACTTAACTGATGTAGCGTTAATGAAATTTAGCACGAAGTCACGTTAAATGTTAGTGAAACAGAGATAAAATTAAAATATAAGTACAAAACATGCAAAGGGAAAAGAAACATTAGTGAAATTTATTAGTGAGAAATACAAAATTGTTAGTGCATACAAAAGGTCAGTTAAACATGCACACATGCAAACATTTTTAATATTAACATGAAATACAAAATGCTGTAATGAAACATAAAAATACATAACAAAGAATTTGGCAAACATTAAACAAAACACAAACATTGAGAAAGGTGCAGAAATAAAACACTTGTACAAATAACAAAATATAAAGTGTGGGGCTTTATTTTTGATAAATGTTTCTTTGTGTTGGGTGCTTTTCAATACAAAGGATATACAATTAAAAGGTGCTGTTTAGCAATTTGTGCAGTTTACAACCTCAAAGTTAGAAATATTTTATGCATTTTCATACTTAAGTAAATTGCATTTATTTCTGATGTTAAAAATACCGAGAACTTTTTTAAATTCTATAATGCATGATTGTGTGCAAAAGTGATTCAATTGCTATATTAGTCAACAGGAACCGAATCTTTTAATCGGTTATCGATAAATTTTTAACGTATTTGTTTTAATTAAATATTGAATTTGGTTTTATGCCCACTTAAACTGGAAATATCAATATATCCTTTAAAACCTAAAGAATCTTGCAATCATCTAAGTTCATCGAAGAAACCTCTCTGTAGATAAATTCTTGTTAGTCATCAGTCATACTCATTATTTGCATGTAACCATACGAGAAAAAATTCAATCTACTTTGTATTGATTATAGAAAAATTCACTATCAAATCACATTTTTGCATTAAACATAACGCCAACTTCTTGTAGTGCGACATAAAAATGCATCTATTTAGTTCAATTTTATTTGGCAAGCTAAATAAGAGTGCTTAACATTATTTATCGGTGATCCATTTTAAGCAGCTTTATTAAAAAATCACTTTTTTTTTAGAAATTTATTTTCGTGAATTTATTTCGTGAATTTATTTATTTATGAAATTTATTTTCGAAATTTTTTTTCTCAATAAAAGTTATATGCTTGACAATTTATTCCGGATATTTTCATTGTGGGTGAAAAATTATTACTCTGCATTCAATATAGGTGGATAAGAAAAAAAATTTAAAGAAATTTCATATTTTAGAGAAGCTTCTTCAAATTAACTGGCGGGAAGTTTCAAGTTTAAAATGTAAATTTCTCTGTTTGAGCTTGCAAATACGACTCCAAGTGTTGCATGAAACCTCAATATCAAATAAAAAACTTTAAAAAAAAATTGAATTTAAATATGTTGCAAAATATTTGATTTTGTAGTCACTCAAATCGTTTAATCAAACTCACGTTATTCAAATAGTTAATAATCAGTCATTAATAGCTATCAGTCACTCAAATTAGCTATCAAAAATATTTTTTCTTGAATTAAGAAAAAGGAGAGACAAATTGCTACAAAGTTCCAGTGAAAAATGTTAATGAATGTAAGATATGAGGAAGCCCCAGATTCAAATTTTGTTTTCCTTTCTTTTCATTCATTTCTCAGTATTTTTCAGTGCAAGTGTTCACGAAATATTGTCCAATTTTGTTTTTTCTTCTGAAAAAATAGTTTATTAATTTGAAAAATATTGAACTTCAGGAAAGATCCATACAGTTAGTAAATAAAGAGAATGTATTGTATTGTCTAAAGTATATGATATATAGTGAGTTAAATTTTTCCTTCCTATGAATAAAAATTTAAATAAAATTAATTTTAAATGCAAAAGAATTTAACTCAGAAAGCACTTAAGTCTGTTCAAATTTTATTCTTATTGTGGAACTTACGCTAGGGAAAAGCTTACTTATCTCCTACACTATTTGAGCATTATAATTGTTGCAATATTTAATTATTAATAAATTTATTTATTTATTAATTTATTATTTTTTCTGGAAATAAATTTTAAACTATTCGAGGAGATTCATATTAAATTTACTATGAAACTATTCAAATATATTAATTCAGCACCTCAAATTCTAAAAAAATGCTTGCTATCAAAATTTTCTATTGAACTTCGTGTCATTTTTTTTTATTGTTAGTGTCAGAAACAATATCTGATGAATTAAATCAAATGGATAAAAATTCCTTAGCAACTGAGTTTCAGTTGAAAAAAAGCAAAATGTGTTATATTTCAATGTGATTCATATTTATTGTTGAGAATTTCTCAGATATTTCATTCATATTTCATTCAGCAGCATAATTTGAACTCTTAAATCATTCTCATTATCTTAGTTTGAAATTTCACACACAAAGAGCAATGCATTAAATCATCAGTTTCAATTAGTATATTTAATATTACAATAGACTGAACAAGTGCTTTTTTAACTATAATATTCAATGAAATGATATGTGATTCTAAATGAGTCCCAACTTAACATGTTTTAAAATCACTTAGTTATAGAATAATGAATGTAATAGAATATGTATACATGTATGCATTTATCTAAGGATATTATATAATTTTTTTTTACTAAAATTCGTCAGATTTGAATAAAAATAATTGGTGAGTTACCTAACTTGGAATTTTTGGAGCTCACTCCAAGCTGCTCTGACGCGGCAGTTTGAAAACAACCAAAAAAGTTTATTTGATTTTAATCTTAAGAGTAGAGATATTTCATCCTTCTCTTTTTGTGTTGAATTAAAATGTTTTGAAAAGCGACCTTTTTTTCTGACTGAATTATTTAAAATATAGGAAAGAATTATTATTAAGTAAAGAACAATTTCATCAGGTGAAAAGAAACTTTGAACTAGATCATTTGAAAAATCAGCTTTCTATTAGGGTTCCCTTTTTAAAAGTTGAGTGAATTAGGAGCTATCTCCAAAAAGTCCGTGGTGCAAAACTCAGCCAATAACTTCAGTTAGAAAAAGAACAAAGATTTTTTGGGCAAGAAATTCCGCAAATGGAATTTTCTTTTTAAAAGCAAAATGATATCTCCCCTTTTTTTAACTTGATTTGTTGACAAACCTTCTGTTTGGATAACGTAAATTTTAAGAGCCCACTATAATTAATTTTAAATGCATTCAAACTTATGAATTAGTTTTATTTGCTCATTAAATTATTGTTATGATGAATTCAGGAAATTTTGATTACAGAGTCTTTCCATTCTGCTCTGACCAGTAAGAAATATAAAAACATCTCATTTAGATTTTTATTTTATGCATTTTACTCTTTAATAGTCTCCTATCATACAATACTATATAAGGAAAATAGATATTTAATAAAACATTAGTTACACATTTGATAAACTAATGTACTCAATAAAAAAATAAATATTTTGAAGTCAATATATTACATCTATCAAAATAATTTCCTGAAAGTATAGTACATAATTTATTTTATGTCATATTTATAATCACACCAATTTACAAAAATTTACTTTATATCTTTAATTTCATTTGATTTATAGATTATGTATTTCAATATATTATTTTATTAAATATTTTCACTCTTGTTAAATTTTGTCTTAAATAAAAGTAAAACAATTTATTTACATCTTAATTTATAGTTCTACAGTTGTGACTAGAATCTTGAAAAATGTCTCAAAAGTCGACATAAAAGAGAAAAAGGAACATAAAAAAAAACACTTCATACAATTGAGATACTAATGTTTTCATATTAAAAGCTGAAAAGATTTTTTAATTCAGAAACTCATTGAATGAACCTTGACTTTTTATCAAACAATATTATAGAATTTCCTCTCAATATTAATAAAATTGAAAAAAGATAACTAGTATGAAAAATATTAAAACATTTTTTTCTAATAAAATGTCTAATAAAATGTAAATTCAGGAGAATATTACATAAGCACGCTTTTGCACCTGCAAGTAGTTGAAACGAAATCAACCAAACTCTTTGCAAACACACTTTACACTTTAAAATACAACTATTTACAAATATGAACTATATAACAGCAATAACTTGATTAGAAAAATTTGTCAAAAATTAAGTAGGAAATCATTAAATATTAAAAAATAATCATTTTTAACAAGAACTCTGCCTATCTGAATGTTTGTCTGTGTAAAAGTACTGCCCAAATGTTACCTAAAACAGCATAATATGGAACAGCACGAACAAATCTTGATGTTGACCTATCATGCGACGAGTCAATAAAATTAGGATCTAATGTCGTTAAATTACTTATCTCCTGAGTTGTCTCAGCATTTTCTAAATTTTCATTCGAAGAATTAGTTGTTATATTATCACCCATAATAAACTCAAAACCATCACCAAAAGTTTCGAAAGGTTTTGTGGTTTCTAAATTTGAATTTACCGTAAATGTAGGCCAGGTGGCTTTTAAAGATGACCCAGAGTTAAATACAGGAGAGGTACTGGGGAAGAGACCGCTTCTTGTATTTAGCTCAGATCTGGCTTCATTGGTGGCCAATGGATACACTGTTATGTTTTGTATTATAACTCCTTTTGTAACCTCAATTGGGATTTCAGTGGGTTCATATCCTCGAGCTTCCACCTGAAATATTAAAATAATGCATCATTTTTAAAATATAGTACAATTATGTCACATTTCTGTGCACAACAGTTATATCAAACTTTTCCTTACAGCTGATACTGTACAAATATATCATAGAATAACGTGTGCTAGCATGATGGGCCCAAAAGACAAAAAAATCTGATTCCATATCCAAAAGATAACGTATTTTAATTAACCTTATTTAATTATTTATTGTTAAAATTTTTTGTCATATTTTTATAACAGATGAAATAAAAGCATAAATTGAAAACTACGATGAAAGAAGCATTCATTAATTTTTTTTCTCTAAAAAGGCTGTTCAAATAAAATATGTTAAAAAAAAAAAATTTCCAGAGATTTTGAAATTACATTGGATTTTGATTTTAACTTTGTATTTTTTAAAGCACTTTTACTTTCTTTTTAAATATTTGGGAAAACTTTTTGTATACAATATTTGCAAACTTATGGGCAAAAGTTAGAATATTATTGTTATAGAATACGTTAAAATAATATAAATAACATATTATACCATCTGAAAATAAAAGCTAAGTCCTGAACTTTACTATTTAGATAAAAACAAGAAGAATTAAACAGTTGTATGTTATTGTTCATAATTATTCTGTATGATCTAAAACAAAAATTAGTACATTGAATGATAGTTTTATTATAAACCTATCATTTCATATAAGTACTAGTTATTGCTTTATTTACCATTATGGTTCAGTATTCTTACCATAGATCATTTAATACATTTTATTAAATTGAGTAATATAAAAAATTAGTTTCTTAAACTTAATATTTTTACTCATAAGAAAGATACTTTAATAAAATGGTTAGTGTTCAGATAGTAAAAAATAATGCAAAAATTATACCACAAACTATTTGAAATTACAACATGGTACATCACACCCAATATAATTATTTCAAATCTCATTAAGTAAAATAAATGTTAGAAAGCATTTAAAAAAAATAACACTTAATGATATGTTCACTATAATACCAGTTATTTTTTATTAATGCAGTCAATTTACTTATATATTATTTAAACTTTTAACAAATAAAATAACTTCAACGAAATGTAAAAGTACAATTAAAAATTATGCAAAGATGTAAAAGTATATATATATACTTTTATGTAAAAGTGTATATAAAATGTATGTATAAGTATATGCAAGATGTAAAAGTATATATAAGAATTATCTTTTCTGCAATACGAAATGTATTCTTTTGGTTTAATTATTTACTTCATTTACTGCGATGTGATGAAAAAAATAGTGATGGGAAAAAATAGTGATGAAAGTGAGTAAATACTTACTTATCATCACTATTTTTTTAACTTTTTTTTTACATTTTTTAAAAAAATTATTAAAAGCTAGTACATAAAATAAAGAATTATATGATCTGACCTTGAATGCAGAGTTTAATGGCACAAGAACCAACTACACCAGATGTAAACAGCATAATGCAATCAAGACAAGTTTATTAAGCATTATTATAAATTAAAAATAGAAAAAGGAAAGAAAGATCATTTGCCTCTTAGTTTCAAGGAACCTGTGTTAACATAAAACAGATTTATCCCTGATGGAAAATATGATTTGACGAAAAATATTACTTGTAAAATATATGAGCCTGGCAGTAGTATTCTCCAATATTCTCCTCTAGCTGTAGTTCTGGAGCCAAATTCTTTCCCTTTGATTCTAATTGTTGCGTTGGAAACAGGACTTTTGGAAGGATCAATTACTTGTCCCCAAACACCTAAATCAAGAGAAAAAATGATCAATTACTAAGATGACACATCAGAATCAGTGTGACTCTAAGCTAACTCTAACCCATAAAAACTAAACTTTCTTTTTGTGGCTCTCTTCTGAAAAGGTTATACATTCTAGTACGCACGTCATTAGTACCATAGAAGAATAGCCAAATAAATAATTCCTTAAAAAAATCAGTATCGTCTAGGGAAAAAAAATTAATTTTTCTACTTTTTAACATTTTGTTTAGTAATGGAAGAAATAAATTCTTTCAATTGATTTATCTTCAAATTTTTGTTAAACAAAATTTTTGCTATTATCTGTGATAATTCTGTAACATGAAACACATTTAAAAGCAACAACAATTTTTTTTCTCAATTATTTTAAATAAAAGATTTCTTTATACACATTTAAACTATGTTAAACACACTATGTAACATCTAAAAATGTTTTAAAAATGTGTAATACACTTGACTTTTTTTAAATTTTGTAATAAAGTAGTAAAAATCTAAATTGAAGAGTAGTATGTTTACCTTGGTGTGCCTCCTTGAGGTATTGCAGAATGGCAGCTTTGTTATCATTCCAAAACTGAGGTAGAGTGTAAGCTTTCGGATATTTGCAGCAAGATATTTCAAGAGTAATTTCCATGCAACCAGCCCAAACATAATTAAAATCTTGCATACCTCCTAAAGTTCATAAAAAAAGACAAATTAGACATTTATTTAGTGTTAAATATAGAAAACCTATAACGATACACATGCATAAGCTGGATCAAATGATCAGTTTGAAATTTGGATGCAACTCTGCATGAGAAATTATGACACTTTTCAAAATAGACGCTTACAGATGATCATGGAGATATAAAGGAAATTACATTGCACATAAAGTGCATAAAACTTGCATTGCATGCAAAATTATTTTGCATCACCATAACAGTACAGTGTTTTGATTAGAAATTATAACTAGGAGTAAGCATCGTAAAAAAATTCTAAAGTTTAAATAGAAATTAATAAGTTTCGAATTATAACAAGTTATACAAAAAAAGTCTAAGACAGACCACACATTGAGTAAGCAAGCGGTAAGAAAAAGGCATAAAAGTGACGAATTCATGCACTTTTGCATTAGGATGAGTAGAGGAGTTGTGCACATGCTAATGCAAAAATATATGAATCTGCCTCTCGTTTGCCTCTTACTTACCATATGCTCCTTCAGCGTGTGGTTTGCCAAAATACTATCTCTTCTTTCCTTTGTTATACAGGTTAAATCACTTAAGACATTGAAGAATTAAAACATTTGTAATTCTTCTTAAAAACAACAAATGGTTTCACTTAAACTGTCTTTTAGTGCAGTTCATCTCTATTACTTTTCCTTATTTTTTTCTAGTTTTTTAATAGGAGCTGGAGGCTTCTAGGCTTCTATCAATAAAGAGTTCAGATATTCAAAAAAAATTACTTTGTGATGCAAAGTTCAATTTGCAATTTTTATTTAAGCACTACTCAATGCACAGCAAAGCCTGTAATAAATTTTATTAATCGAATGCAATTAATCAATTATAAAACATCAGCAAAATTAAATTTTATAAACATGAAGCAGTGCATATCAAACCCTGCAAAGTTCATATAAAAGAATTTTGAGATAATATGTGAAAAATGAAGTAGTATTCATAAGAATTTTATTAAATTTGTTTCTGAAACAAAGACCCATTTTTGTAGATGAAAAAGAACTTACTAAAATGCATACTATACGAAAATATGTCAAGAACAATCAACCTGAATGATCATCAGAGGAGGTTTTACAACCGGTTAAAAGGAAAGCAATTTTTATCAGCAAGGACAACCAATGACAAACTTTATAGAAAGGAACAGAAAAATGTCATGGTTATAAGTACAAAATATTATTTCTTCTAAAAATGTCAAAATCGACATGGCTGCGAATTGGCATGGGTTTGAAACAATTTGGCATTATTTTCTCCGGCATTTATCCACAGAATAATACAAATACTGAAAACAAAAAAATGCTAAAAACAGAACATGGCTTGTAAGGCATACCATTCAACACCATCTGTTGTTCTGTTCTAGTTTCCTAAAATAACAACAAATTTCAAACTGAGTTTGAAATAATTTGACATTGCTTGTCCTTGCATTTATCCACAGAATAATACAAGCACTACGAGAAGAAGAAATAGTGTACCTTGTAGGGCATACCAGGCAGCGCCGTTTGTTGTTCCATTAGGGAAGGGAGGATTCCCGTCCCTACATGTAACACCTAAATACATGTTCTTGTGATTGAAGGAGTAAGACTCAGCCAAGTGTCTGAACACATTGTCATCAGGAGTGACGGAAGCACTATACATTCTACGGAAATCTGCAAAATTAAGAAAAGATATGTATTGACTATTATGCTTATAATCATTTGCTCTTTTGGCCCCATCAGGGCATATATGTACCGCAGACGAGAACATATATATGACCCGTCTAAAATACCGGGTGAGACACATGTTCCTACCCCCATAACCACCAAATTGTTAATTATATATATTTTTTATAGAACATTGTTATTTTAACCTTGTTTGATCTAATAAAGTCGTAATTTGTCTTTTTATTAGAAAAAGTAGCACTGTTCTTAAAAGGGTTAAGATCACCATAGCTGATGAAACTTTATAAAATCTAATTAAACAATGCCAAGGTAAAATTTATATCGTAAAAATCTTTTTATTTGTTGAAAAATTATGAAATGGTCTCATTCATTTCTATTTCAGTTGTGTAATGTAAAAAAAATGCAAGGTCGTGATTATTATTAAGAAGTTAAAACAAACCATAAAGCTCAATTTTAATTAGCTATAATTTCCTTGCAACCTAAAAAATTCAGTATTTCTACTTTTGGATTAAACTATTTATGATATTATTTAGAAAACACTGTGACATAATTGGGGAATTGGCTTTTGACTTAAATTCTTGTAATTTAAAACAAGGGCAATACTTAAAGAACACCGTGAATCATATTTTAATCAAAATTTTAAAGTTGTTCCTCAGAATTTGAGTTCTTAGTTTTGAAATACGTTGTCAATAAGAACAAAAGTTGAATTTGTAAAATGTTTAAGGAAAGAAATAAAAAAAGGAAACTGGAAGCAGCTTTTTTTTAATGAAGAAAATTACGAAACAAATGTCATTCAAGGAAACATTCAGGGAAATTTTGAAATGCTTCAAAAAGTAGGAAAATTTCCTCACCAAACTTCATACAAAAAAAATTTTGTTGTTTTTTTAATTAAAGACTTATTTTAGTGTATGAAATTGTCGTTACTTTTGTCTCACAATATAAGTGGTTGGCGCATAATAAATGTTCGTAAGAAATAGAAAAAGAAAAAAAAATGATGGTAAAATGGGGAAAAGTAGTTAGTAATTACTTCATTTAGTTATCATGAAATTCTGGAATTAAAGCTATTTGAGGTGTCCTATTTTTAATAATATGAAATGTAAATTAAAATATGCTTTAGCCATGAAACTAGTAAGTTTGTAATTTGCATAAATAGTTTCTGCTTTGATTTCGGAATCGGAATATATTTTTTCAAGAGAGAAGAAACAATTGTTACATGAATGTAGTTCAATTGCTAGGATAATAAATTAAAATATTTTTAGAAGCAAAAAAGAAAGGAAAAAACAATTTGAAATTCTTTATACCCAACTCTTGATATTAGTTATTTAGTGCAGTTATAGATAATAGATACAGATTATAAATAAATAAGAGATTACAATTACTCAATAGAAATATTCATTATGTATAATTATTTTTTTTTAATATTTCTTCCAAAATATATTCTTTTTTCCACTAAGTGTGTATTTTGTTCATGGTTACGCATTTAAATCGTGTTTCCGTAAACTAAATTTAAAATTAACGGTAAATAAAATAAAGTAGGTTGGGCTGAAAAGCAAAGTTAATGGACGAATAGCACTAATTCGCTTAAAAGAAACGTTAAAAATCGCCCCACTAAAATGGATATAAGATTAATTTTGGTAATACGAACAATTGAAATAAAAAAAGCAAGTTATTTAATCAAACACGATATTATTGAAAAATTGGATACCTTCAAGTGACGTCATCGTATGTGTATCTTGGCATTTGTCTATTCAGAAGCCAATCAGGAATGTCAGAAGCCTCGCCACGCACACGCGTGACGTTGCTTACAGGTATCGAATTAAATCACGTGATTAGGCATATCACTTCACTCCTATTTATATTTTCTCTTGAAATTTGATTTAAATCAGAGACAATTTTACAAAATAGTGTCTACAAAATTTAAATTGAATTTTAATTATTACAGGAATTAAATTTTAATTATTACAAAAATTAAATTTTAATTATTACAAAATTTAAATATTTATTCAGAGGCAGAAATATAAAAAATATTCACAACTCTTTAAATATTCATTCTTAAAGCACTTTTTCCCTTTATCTATTGCAATTAACATAAGTAGGCTCTTTATCATACAAATCAATAATGTCTCATCTTATGAAAATTCATGCATAGTTTAATAAATTGAATAAGAATCGAAAAAAATAATGCGTCCTTACTACTGGGGGTATTTTTCGGAATATTGTCAAAAGGATAACTTGCAACCAGAGCCCCTCCATGGAAGTTTGCAGAAAGAACGAATTGTGTGCTTGTAATCCATTCTCTCATGGCTGCTGTTTCCGGTTGTGCTACAGGGTTAGTGCTGGAGAAATAATCTGGAAAATTCCTGTTCAAATCCTGGAAATTTGCATTGCCCCTATGAAACATAACAAATTAAATAAGAATCAAAACATATACTTATGAAATCTCAGAAAATCAGCAGAAAAAAATATATATGCATAAAAGGGACACCGGCGTCCCTCTACATGAAAGGGTTAAGAAAGCTAAAATTAATGGTGTTTGCTAAGTTAAGTTTACTTATTTTTACTTCGTTTTCACTAACTTGCTTTTGTATCTGTGAAGGTGAATTCTTGCATTCAAAATTTTGACAACTTTCCTAGAAGCTGATGTGCTCAAAATTTAGCTTGAACTCAGTGTTTGATGAAAATATAGGTTTTCACCTTTTACCATATCCTATAATCGAAATTTATCGCCATATCGAAAAGTACCGACATGAACAAAAACATGAGAGCCACAAAAGTGTTACTGACAGTAAAATTCGAAATATTACGATTATCAAGTGGTTTAAAAAGGAGAAATAGTTTTATTTTGTCAGACTTGAAATAAAAAACATAGGACGTATCACTTTCGTGATAATTAAACCTTGATCAACACCGTCAAATCTCTCCCCAGTCTTTCAAAAGTGATGAGCCCAACGCTTTATTTCTGGTTAAAAGCAGTTTAGTTCTTTTTTTATTACTACTTGAAAAACATAGGTTAAATTTTTTTATATTTTATAACTACATAGCTGCCAACATGAATAGGAAAAAATCCAGTGGATTTTACTAGATAATATAAATTTAATGATATCTGATGCATTATATACTAAATATTTTACATATAGGGAATTTTAGGGATTTTCATTGTCGTCAAAATACAAAACTTTATTACAATATATAAATGGTCTGCAATATTTTCCTTTATGATTGGCATTAAATTAATTTGAAATGTTTTTACATTATGTTAACTCATAATTTTTAGTAGTAGGAAAGTAAATCATTATTGATAGTTAAACGAATTTATATTTTAAAAAGTGAGAACTGAATTTAAATAAACTGAAATTTTTGAAACAAAGAAAAAAGATAGAAATTTTTTTTTAAATAATTACTATAAGTGAGGCTTATTTCATTATCCATTGGTAATACTTATTTAAATATTCAAGCAAGTAAGTAATGACTTATGTAAAAATTCTATTTCAAGAGGAATTTTTTTTTTTTTTTTTTGAAAACTAATAACCAGAAATAAAAACAAATGCCTTTTTAGAGAATTTTCTAACATTTTCAAAGACCAAGAGAATTTTTATTATACCAGTAGGTAGTGGCAAAATCTACCAGTCTACTGGTAAATCCAGTAGAATTGGCAGATATGCTACTAAATGTCTAAGAGTGCATCGACATTTATTGGATAGTGGGCTCGCATTAAAAAAACAAGGGAACAAAGTGACCGTTTTGATATTTTTCATATCTTACTTACCTAATTTTCCGACCGGAATAAAAACAAATGCAGTTAGGAAACTAGACTATTGTTGTGGTTGAAAGTAAAAAATAGAGTCTTTACATAATTTCAAAGGGTGGCAGATCAAATATAAAATTGAATAAAATTTAAAAGAAATAGCTGACCAGAAATTCTAATTTTGCAAGTGATAAGTCTACTAAAAGTTTAATAATGCTCCTAGTTGTTGTCTTGTTGGAAGATTCCAAAGAAAAATTTTTTATTCCTTACAATTATCTTGTTATACATCCAATATAATGTTCGTTCTAACATTTAAAACATTTTTACAAAGTTTACATGACGTTTCGAATGTAATGACTTGAGACCAGAAGCACAGATATTTCTATACTTTAGGGAAAATTTGAAAATGTTTGTCACACAGTTTAGTATACAACGCAGTTAGCAATGTGTTCTAAAATTATTCGATTTAAATAGTTGGTGTTTGGTAGTCCTCGAATGCTACCGCTTCAAACAGTACTCTGCACGAAACAAGATCAAAAAAAAATTTACTATTAGAATTGTTTTTCATTATTTTTGCGTTATTTACGAACAAAACTCAAATATATTTTTATTTTATAACCGTCGATGAACGGCAGACCCAATTTTGGGTTTACAACTACTGATGTTCAACTCCGTAACCTTGCAATTTTGATCCCAATCCAAAAGACAAGGGAACTCCTGAATCGAGTATTGGGAGAAATTTGCCTTCGTGGAGGGTTTTTTGATGGAGCTAACTCGCATTTGCGTTACATGGAGAGGAAGACCACGGGAACCTCCCACGGTTCGCCTAACGGCAAGGACTCTAACCCATGATCTGTCTACCGCTGAGGATATTTCACGTCAGCACTGTGGTCGGTGCAAGCCGGATCTGGAATTCGTATAGACTGGGATTCTAATCTGGTTCGCCTCATTGGAAGGCGAGCGGTCTATCTCCTGAGACTATATTAATCGAATTGAAGTAATTTGAATAATCTATTCATAAAAATATTTCCTGAAATTTTACAATAAAACCACTTTCCCATTTGTGAAAGCATGTAACAATGAATGGGAAATTTAAAATATATTTAGAAACATAAAACAGTTTTTTTTTTTCGCGGAAAAAAATACTTATTTATACAATTATTATTAAAACTGCGTCTTACCTTCCTTGTGTTCCAGAACATTCTCCCTCAACGGAGAGTTCGAATCCATCAGGATTCATGGAAGGCATGATATGGAGTCTGTTGTTGTCGAGCAGCCACGTTACGTAGTCGTCTTTTCCGTAATTCGTCAGTAGATATGACAAGAGATGCAGCATCATTTCCCTGCCGACAGGCTATAGAAAAAGTAATCAGAAATATCAACAATTAATACCTGAATTTAAACATGCATTTGTTAAAGTTCGTGTCCGGATCCGGTTAGAATGCAGAGGAATTACTTTTTCAATTTCTTTTAACTCGGTCAAACAATAACTGCAGCGAAATACTATGAGCTAATCACTCAGCGTTAAAACTTAAATAAAACATTCAATTTGGAAACCGAAAAGATATATTTCACCATGATAATGCTAAACTGCATGTCGTTGCACAGGGACACTGCAAAAACAATTCATTTTCTATATCCTCGTTATTGCCTTAGGGTTGCTTCTCCAGTTCTTTACAAATTTAAATGCCAAAAAGGAGAGAGAGAAAGATAAAATTACACTACGTTCTAAAAAATTATTTAAAAAAAACGAGTTCCTACAAAAATGGAATTCTAAAGCTAGTAAAGCGTTGTGAGATAGTCGCAGAAAATGACAAAAAGTACTAAATATGAAAAAGTTTGCATTTGATAAGGATCAAATTAAACAAACTCTTGCAGTACGGTTGTTTTAAAAATGTTGAAAAATTTACCGCAATAAAAATAAAGTCTTATCATACTCTTGGTGCTGTTCACAGGATTTCTCACTATCCACACTTTTCCCTTCTCCGTACCTTGCTTTTTCCTCAAGCCAAAGTATTCAAATTTTTTACTGAAACTTACTGGCGGGGGAAAAAGCGAGATCTTCCAAAGTCATGGTAACGGAGAGGAGGAAAATGTGGAGAATGGAGAAATATAGTAACCTTATGATACCTATTCTATTTACAAAGTATATAATTGTGTATTAGTATTATAACGAAAAATTGACTAAACACAATTGATTTATAAAACAGTTTTGTTTTATTACTTTATGACAATTTCTTAGAATTTTTGTTTCGTGAGAAACTGTTTCAAACATTTTCATTAACTAGATATTGGCTAAAGTTTTTGAAATGAAACAATAAATTAAATAAGAAATGATAAATTAATTAAAGTTAAATTGCCACAATGGCAAATTAAAACCATGGTTCAAGCGCTTGGCAAACATTCTAGTCATGTTTATTTTCTTTAAAAAAAAAGCTAAGATTAATCAGTATTTATTTAAAATAAGAGCTCATAAAAAACCCCAAAGAAATTGAATACACGCTACTTAAAGTTTAAGACAATCCTTTTTCTTTAGAAAGCGAACCCTCCAATTAAAATTTACTGTGAGATCGTTAAAAGAAATCGATTTTACGAACTAATTAAAGATGGAAACTTGTTCTCTTTTATGTCTTTTGTACATACTAAAAATAACTTTATGCTTTAAAAAAAACTTACCTGTTTAGGCGTGTAGCCAAATAAAAGAATTTTAAATTATGTGACATTAACAAATTACTTTTCCTTTTAATGAATGGCCTCTTGTGAATGAAGTTTCAAAAATATTGTTCGACAATTACTTTTGCGGAACTACTTCCCAAAGGGATTGAGAATGATTAGAGAATGTTTTCAATGGACTCTTATTTCTGACACGCAATTACACGCAAACGATAAATATTCATCGAATAAAAATTACAGAAGAAAAATTACCATTGACGAATTGTACTAAAAGTAAAAAATAATTTATGTCTATACAAAAAGAAATTAATTTTGTAACAAACAATTTTAGCATTTTATATTATTCCTGTTGCTATACAGACAATCCACATATTGTAATGGCTGCAATAACTCCCGTACCTCGAACATTTAAACCGAACTCAGAAGACGTGGTAATTGAATATCGAGTGGATACTAACTGAACTATCGGGGTGCAACCAACTCATTGCAAGGAAAAGGGGGAATATTAAAACCTCTAGAGGTTAGCCGTAAGTATTTTGACTTCGACGTTAATTTATCTACCAGTGTAGTCACTGTAGTATCACACTGTAGTCAAGTCGTACAGGGAGCAGTTTGTAAATCAATTAACAAAATCTGAACTTTGAGCTGGTTTTTATTATTATTAGAAACAAGCTCTCTATTTTCTTTATTTAAAAATAAATTCTAAATGAAAGAAATGTTCAATTTTAAGAATTCTCGAAATGTGAAGATAACTAGTCGATAAAAATAGTTATTAACAAATAAAATAAGAAGTATGTTAATACCCGTGGATCCTAAAAATCTTTCAGTGGAGTTCCGAGATTTAAGGTTTATTTGTTCCAATTTAAATAAAAGCTTATATGTTCACAATTACTTAACTTTATTCATCAAATCTTGTTTCCACAGGGTTGCCATTTTTTTCTGTTATGGAACCTTTACACTGTTTTTCGAAGTTCTGTCACCAAGTAAAATAAAAAAAGCCTTAGTTTAAGTGCCTTACACTTGAAGCAATGAGATTAATTTAAACTATATATAACATCTTAGCTGTGAAGAATTATCTGGGCTTTAGAACAGACGAATAACTTAAAAATTTTAAAAGTTATTAAAATATTTTAAAAGTCGCCAATTTGGTGACATTTTTCCACCTACATAAAAATTATCAGAATCACTGTCCTATTCTCAGTTTTTGCAAATTTTTATAAGCCTTGGTAATGCAGAATTGGAGTAGATTTTTAAATATTAAAAAATTAGACCACAAACGATATTCATTTTCGCAAAACTGTGGCCTTTCCTCATATTGACGTTTTGCACCATTTTCAAAATAAGCGTAGGCAGAGCCGCTTTTAGATAAGCTAAACTTGATCTAACAGTCACGAAGAACAGTTGCAAACACACAGCAGTTATAAAAAGCTTATTGTTCGCAAAAAAGCATAATTTCATATAAAGACAGGGCCTTCGAAAAACAGCCTTAAATGATCGAGCTTTAAAAATAAAGTTTAATGAATAAAAGTATTCACAAATAAAAGGCATTTTGAAAATAATATGAGGACTGCAATTTTGTCATTATTTTATCATTAAATTAGGTTTTACGTTGATTTTGGAGCTGAATCTAACCTAGCAATTAATTTGTCGTTAGTGTATATACTGAAAATGAGGAGAAAACTAAAAGAGCTAGACGTTTAAGGTGATTATTAGGGTAACTTATGTCCTTATTAACGGATTTAATTATTTTATTTTGGTTTGAAAAGCACGCTGGGAATCAATGGAATTTTTTTAAAAATACATATCCTTCTGCATTATTTTTTTCAATGCGTTGTTATAAAGAAAAATTACATCTCTTTTTTTAATAAAAATGTAATTTTTTTTTATTGGCAAATTTCAAATACTTTCTCATAAGTAACCCGAAATATTAAGAAAATGATAGATTATTGATCGGAACAAAATATAATTACAGATTACAAAAATATGTAAAACAAAACTGTTAAAGCAAAGTCCTAACTCTGGGATTTCCCTTAACTCTTTCAAGGAATTCTAGAGTTCTTAGGAACACCATTTGGGAACCGCTGATTTAGGGTTCCATAACCAAATATTTGAAACCGCAGTTCTCGACTATTTCGCAAATTGTCATTGGGGCGAGAGAAAGATACCTCTAAAAATTCAAAATATTTTACACTTATTAAAATCATAAATTAATTAACTATAACCAGTGGTTGAAAGTAAAATGCCACTCCTGATCTCTATCAACAACAGTCGACTCAAAATAAAGATAATAGTAAGGAAGATCATTGCAAATCCTGTAATCAGGTTAACAACGAAAGGTTTTTACTCAAAAATTTCTCAAACTCAGGAGCTCTTTTGACGTGAGAACCTGGTTTGGAATTATGCAGGTAAGGGAAAAGGGGCATGAAAAGCCCATAAATACGAATCTGAAATAAAATATTCTTAAAATAAATCCATGTATAATTTTTCATTCTTCAAATTACGACGCAAATTACCATACAGAATGAAAGAGAAATCGTTCCAAATATTTTTTTCGTTATATTTTGCTGAAACAAAGAGTATTTTAGCGAGTTTCCTCAAGTACAGATTTCAAAAATATTATTAGTTTCAAAGAGAATAACTTACTTCATTTCCATGCATGTTCGCTACATATTTTAAATTTGGCTTCAGTAGAGGTTCGGTGTTTGGTTCGCTGGTTACCAACATTACCCATAATTCCCTTCCTAAAAACAGATTTAAAAAATCAGTCTTCAATTAATTTTTTTCCATCTTCAATTAATTATATCTTACAGTTCTACATCTAGGAAAAAAAACACAATTATCTAATGCAATAAATAAAATGGTTTGCAAGGAAGTTACACGGAGTGCCAATCGCCGTCACGCTTTTATTTCTAGACTGATAATTTTTTGGTTATTCAATTACATATAAAAAAAATTAGTCTATTTCGCAACTATTATTAAGTTATGAACTATAAAAAAACTACATTTTTTACTTTGGACGCATCGTGAAGTTCGGTTCGTGACCCAGATAAAAAAACACAGTTGGCTGTAATTAAAACGCATATACACTGTTAAAAATTTCTCGGAAAAAATGGTTAAATAACAATTTATGTAATTGTTATTTCACCATATTTAAACAAAACAGTCAAATAACAGTAAATAAGATGGTAATCCAACTTTTCTGAGAAAAAAAAAACGTTTATTAACTGCTTTCACTTAATACGGTTAAACAACCAGAATTTTATCGCACCAGCTAGGCTCAAGTAATGAAGCTACTTAGCTCCTTGCAGCTGGGTGCATATTATAGACGACTGAGCTAATTTGTCGATTTCATGACCGACAGAACGGGTGTTCAATATACCGCAATATTTCCTTCATTACCTTCAATACCTACCTAAGGAAAAGCCTAGCGCCATTGTCCAGTTAATTTTTTTTATTTTTTTTATTTTTTTTTTACGGTTTTGAAACCATGCTTGTTGTAAATGCTTAAAAAACGACGCAGTTTTGTATTTATGGTTTCTAGACGTACTAGTTATAAACGGTTTCAAAACTGTAAAGTAAAAAATGTTCTTTACCGTAAAATTTACGGTTAATCGGATGGTCAGACTGCTGTCGGTTATTTTACGGTAATTTTAGAATGAAAATTCTAGTAGTGTACCCGTAATCGGAAACTCAAATAGTTGCTTAATAAAAGACTAAAACTAAGAGATTAAACTTAAAAATTAATATAAAAATATCATTGTTTTGCTATAATTAGATTCACAGTTCTAATCGTAAAAAATAACCACGTGTAAAATAAACTCATTAAAATTCTTAGAAAATAATCATGTATAAAAAAAATTATTGAGAGCGAGGGTTGTCATAGTAACGGATAACATAAAATTACTATCGCTATTAAATTGAAATCAAGATTTTTTCTTTTTAGACTAAAATAACTTTATAAACCTATATAAAAACAATATTTAAATAATATTGCAAGAATCGCAGAATATTTGTTAATTTGAAGTAAACTATACATTTAAAGTTTAATATATGTTACTTACTTGTGGTCATGGTTTAGCACAATTAATTGCTTTCTTTTTAATTTTGAATTACACATAATAAAAAATAAATAAATAAAAGTTATAAAATTTGAATTTTGGGAAATTTATGTAAGTTAAAGTTAATATATAGATGTCAGAAATAATGTAACATCATGCGATTTATCAACTTTGGCTTTTATGTCAATTTATTAATCAATTTTCTTTCGTTTTTTGTAACCAAATACAGAAACTAAAAACAAGTGTTGGTCGAATTTGACGTAGGCGATGAAACTAATTCCAATACCTATAAATAGGTTTTTAAACTATTGACAAATGGATAAATTCGATTGCTATTTATAAGTTTAAATGTGGAAAAACCGTTTTGAAACTGTAACAAAATATTGATGTGGGTGTTACATACGTGAGAATTAGAGAAGACTATATACAGTAGTTTATTTCGGGAAGGGAAATTGTGTAATTTGTAACCTTATTTGAATAAAAGAAAATTTAAAAAATATTAGTATTTTGAGAATTTTTTATAATGTCGATTAAAAAAATATTTTGTGAAGTTCAATTTCGTATCCATTTTGAATGTTTTACTTCGAATAAAATGCGGGCGTAGTAAAGAAACTGCTTGTTGTAGCTGCAGTACTCGGGTATTTACAAATATGCATGAATATTAGAGAATCAAATTAAAATTTTAAAAAAACTGTAAAAAACACACTGATTTAGTAAAACAAATTGATAAACAATTTTTTTAACACGAAAAGAAAAAAAAATACTGTTTTTTAAGATCAGTTGAGGTAGTTTATATTTCTTCGCCAAATTTTTAATCCCCATACTTTTACTTTACGTTACTTTTAGAAAATACTTGAATGAATTTTAAAATTAAATTCTTTTGCTGTACTTTCCCTTAATAATAATAAATTCAAATCTGGAAAAGCTTCAGTCACATCCAAATACCAGGATTTCGCCCATAAGAACTGTGCCATACTTGGTGGGGTACACCCCAGGTATCTAACGAAAACAGGTATACATTATACTTAATTACTATTTTTATGATGAAATTCAGATTTAAACAAAAAAAAATTATGCAATATTTTTAAGTAATATTTTACAAAAATTTATTAAGTATAAAATATAATTTTTGGATAGGAAGCTTTTAAACATTACAATTTAAATACTCTTTTCATTAAAGAAAAAGAAAGAGATTGTTGCCTTATAAAGGATGAATTTTTGTTTTAATAATTTACACTAACATAAAATAAAATAAAAAGTGGGATATGGGTCAACACTTTTCTTTGTAATGTTTTATTTTACTTTATTAATGATTACTTTTTGTTTCAAGGACGTCTAACATAACCTCCAGTCAAGAAATTTGCGTCTGCCACTGTGAAAGAGTAAAGTTCCACGATGAGGTGGCATGCATTACTCTTGGACATTAAATTATGCCACATAGTTGTTTTATTTATACATTTTTTTTGTATTATAATTTATTTTAGTGTGAAAAACTGTTAATAAAAAGTGAATTACGCCGGAAATTTTCGATTTTTTTGTTCAACAAACGTAAATAAACACAACGTTGTAAGCATTAAACACATTGTAAGCATAACTAATTTATATTCAGCGAATTCTTATCCCATAAATATCCTGCCCGATGATTATTTTTTAATTAAATGCCACGCCTTAGTTGAAGGTTGGAGTTTAGATATTTTATCAATAATGAAAGAATGAATATCGTAATTAGTTAAATTAAGTACCAAATATGAGTGATAAAAACAAATATACGTGACATGTTTTTCTGTATACGACTTTGATATGCTGGATTTACCTGTTTCTGTCGACCATCAAATGCAGGAAAAATTAACAAATTTCATTTTTAAAGTGGAAACAGTGAGAGAGAAATTCATTGCAAAGATTAACACACAGTTGAGGCCATCAATCATAATTTCAAAATAAGTAATTGTTACAGATCTTTCATCTTTTAATTCAGGCGCTAATGTTCAACCCATGCAGAATAAAATAATTCATGGTTATAACTTAAAGCAGAAGGGAAAAACCTCATTCATCTATTTGAAATATAGTCTTCGTTTTGTTTATTTTAAAGGTCGTCTTTATAATAGGAGTGTCTAAGTGTCGATATCTCGAGCAATAAAAAAGCATTAAAACATTGAAAAAAAAAGCACATTGAAGAGAAACACATTGAAAAAAATATTTAATGGGAAGATCAGCAAGCCTTGGATCTGCCCAACAAAAGAAATCAAAGAAAGAAAATTTTAATTGAATATCCCTTTAATGTGTTGACCTACTTTGTTTTGATGGGTGTGGTGTGGAAATAAAAATTATTTTGTAAAAACGTTAGAATTATGTGTTTAAAAGGTGTGAAAATGATTAGGCAAAGTAAATAAATGCTTATAAAATCCAAAGTCATTCACTATCCATTTATTATTGTATTAAACAGCTGACCATGGAGGTCGTCACACTCTACTTTGCCCCAAAATCATTCGCGATAGCGCACCTGGCGAAAATTTTTGCATTTTCGAAAAGTTTGTTATATTTTAGATTCGAATGTTTAACGAAAACAAAATTAATCAATTTAGCATTTTTCAAAAACAATTTTACTTCTAATCGTTTTGAGTGTTATTAGGGGTATGAGAAATTTGTGATTATCAGTATATATCAAAATGAGAAGAAAGAATACTTAGAGCAACGTATGGATAATGCAAAACAATCTGGGTAAAGCACAAATAAGGATACAAAAATGCATGTACGTTTTTGCCTTTACTAATGTCTTTAGTATAGCCATTTTTATGCCTTTTTTTTAGCTTAATTGCTATGGCTTAGCTTTATTTATCAGCATATGTTAACAATTTAAAAAGTATTCGATATGTATGAGAAACTATTTTTATTTATGTAAGCGATATCTATTAAACGAAATGAATAAATATAAAACAAAAAGTCATTAAAAATATTTTATTAAGTTTGATGTGTTTTAAATTCAGTTTTTATCCATTCTATCAAAATTATAAGCAAAAATAAATACTAGTTCAAAGTAAAAAGAATATTATGTTGGTGTAGAGATATCTTATAATAATCCTGTAATTCGCTACTTACTTTATAAAGAATTTCTAAATTACGTAGGCATTAATTCATATATTAAATAAACTTCAAGAAATTTTCATTTTATTAAAATTAATAACAAAAAATAATATCAATAAAAAATAAAAATTTTAAAAACTAATTTGTAATGTATTTTAATAAAGTCAAAAATCAACAAATTTGAATATAATTTGATTATAGTTTATTTGAATATGGTATTTGAATATTTGTTCAAGGAGTTACATACTAAAATATTGTGATAGTTAATCTTATATCATTAGTTTAAATTCGAAATTTTTTTTTAAGAATTTTGATTTTTAAACCACATTCTCCTCCATAAATAAATGCTGCTCATATCAGCTTTAAGCATTTGAAAAACTAAACGGATGAATGTTTTAACAAATATCAAAGTTTTTAGTGAAATTTCTATGAATTTCAGTGAATTAGATTTAAAGTTTAGGGCTTTAATTTTCTTCCAAAAGATATTTTTTGACCCTTTATAGAGCTATTTATTCTAGTAAAGTTTTGGTAAAATATTTTTGAGAATTAAATTAATTCATGAAAAAAACTCCATTAGATTATTACCAAAAAATAATTTGATT